TCATATTTCCCTGCACTACACCTTGAAAATGTCATGGGCGGAGGCAGGCCTGAAGTCAACAGGTCAGAGGTTTTCAGACGTCATTTCACCCCGTTGACACCATGGATGAGGAGATGTTAATCATGGAGGTGCACCGAGATGTCTTCCTACTACTCCTCTGGTTTTGTGGTTCTGTTTATAGAAACTACATCTTGTTATATCGCGCGATTATGCGTGAATTCACAAGATCTCGTGGGTCCTCGTGACTCTCGCTGTCCGGCGGAGCTGCACTGCTCCGCACAGCAAACGTAGCTGGTGGGTGTTGATGGACGGCGGAGCATGCAGCAGATAACCAGCGCAGCCGTTCCGCAACAGACACGCACCCAGTGGAATTCCAGGAACTGCGACTTAAACCAACAGTCAGTACGTTTACATGCACAGTTTAATTCCACTTTTAATCGGAATGAAAGGCCATTCCGATTAAAAGTGGTCATGTAAACGGTCATTCCGATTGAAAATTAAATCCGATTAAAGGGGGTGGTTTATTCCGTTCGTCATTCCGAATGAAAGAATTTTGTGTGCATGTATACACTCATTCCTCTTTAAGTTCATTCCGGTCTTTCTGCGCATGCTCGTTTCCTTGGCCTTCTAGCGCGATGACGTATATAGCGTGCATAGCAATGGGCTGCATAGCAATGGGCTGCATAGCAATGGGCTGCATAGCAATGGGCTGAGAAGCAGTCGGACTTGTTGCACTCACCGGTTTCCATTCGCCACAGCACGGTCTTCTATCTCCCTTCTTCGACCTTCTACCTCCCTTCTCCTCCTCAACAGAAGAAGCATTAGCAGAACAAGGTTGATGTCGTACTGCTGCTTCAAGAATATAAGCAAAACACGCCCGAAAAAGGCACTAAGAACAGCATCGTCAAGCATCTTGTTATCCGGAGCGAGGACTACAGTGTTTTCTTCCGTTAAACGTAAACACGTAACATCCGCCCTGCCCCCTATCCAATCAGAAACGTTCCCTGGCCCAAACCTTGCACAGACCTGAATAAAGGCGATTGAACTGATCTCCCATGTAAACCCTCATTCGGAATGAATATTTCCCATGTAAACTACCTGGAAAGAATTTAATTCCGAATGATTTCATTCAGATTTATTTCATTCCGAATGAGAAGCCATCATGTAACCGTAGCCAGTGAGTAAGAAAAAGTACAAATGTCATTTGTTAAGCTGTGAGTTGAGGAAAACTGCAAGCCACTAGGCTAATTTATGCAATGTAAAAGTGCTTAAGATAATAATGGCAAAGACTAGCAAAAAATTATTGTTTTGTCTGTGAACCTTAAACATTTATTGTTGAGTTGAATTTTATACCTTTGTTAAAGGATCTTGTTACTAATCCATGTTTTATGGCTGTTTTTTTTTTATGGCTGGAGAAGTTTGCCTTTAGGGCTTAAAGCCAGATAGACCAAAACGTTTTATGGAACAGTCTCCTGGTTTGGGTTAAAATATAAAGATTTCTTCCAAAAAGATCTCTCTGACAAAAAGCCCTGAAGGTTAACCTATCCCATGTGCTGTTTTATGTGTGTTTGTGGAGTCAGTTTAAAGCAAACTTTATTGCACTTAACCAGTTACAATCTTACTATATAATGACGAAAAACTCTGTCTGTGGGTGTGTCTGTTCCACGTTTTTCTCCTCACTGACTTGGTCAATCCATGTGAAATTTGGCACAGTGGTAGAGGGTCATGGGAGGATGCGAATGAAGCAATTTTACATCAATTGGCCAAAGGGGGGCGCTATAGTAACCGACTGAAATTGCAAACTTTGAATGGGCATATCTCATGCCCGTATGTCGTAGAGACATGAAATTTTGCACAGAGATGCCTCTACTCATGAGGAACAAATCTGAACCCATAACTTCCGGTTATATAGATTTTCCACCATTTTTTAACTTTTTGAAAAACACTTAAAATCGATCTCTTCCTAGTAAGTTTGACCGATCTGCATGAAACTCGGTGAACATAATCTAGGGACCAATATCTAAAGTTCCCTCTTGGCAAAAGTTGGAAAACTGAGCTTCTATAAGGCAATGAATATTGGCTCATCACATAAAGGTGTATAACATCTCAAGGGTTTCACCGATCACGCAACTTTGAAGGCATATGACCACACATAATCTGAGGGGACCCCTCCATTATTGACCCGATTAAACAGAATGGGGGCGCTAGAGAGCTCATTTCTTATCTAGGCCTAACCGCCATATCGATTTTTACTAAACTTAGTAGATATGTAGAACAGGATGCCTCAAGGTGACTGGAGAAATTTAACTCTAATTGGCAACTGGGTGGCACTATAACAACAGAAAAATGCTTAAAAATGGCTAAAATGTGACCGATCACTGTGGCTCCCCGCAGAATGTTTTTCTTTTTTTGTTTTTTGTTTTTTTTTGGTATGACTAAGTCATGGTATGGTATGCTGTACATAATCACGGAAACTGTCAGTGTGTCATTCTGTCAGTCAGTCATTCTGTCTGTCCCACATTTTTTTACTCACTGACATGGTCAATCTATGTGAAACTGCACATAGGCATTGAGGTTTGGCATAGGTAGAAGGTGACAAAGCTACCAATGGGTATGGACTAGTTATTTACATTATGTGTTGTTTTTATCTTTAATGGCCAAAAGCAAAAAAGAAAGGGGTGGCAGTTTCTTCTGTAACAGACTGTGCTGAATGGGCAAATAATGTCATCTCTTATCGATTTCAGGCCACTGAATCGGCAAATATCGTATCCAAAGAATCAATATAATATTGTATTGTGATTAAAAAAGTGATTTGCACCCATTATAATAAGTCATGGTTGAAGGCATTTTGGATTTGGCACCAGAGATGGAAAACTTGTAGATAAAGGTAAAGCTGTTTAGCTTCTTTTTTTAGCCCACCTGTCGATAGCATTACCACAACAACAAATCTGGAGTTAATGTTAGCATTAAGGTGGAGGCACGCTAGTGAATAGAACGTCAATTCTGCAGTGTATTTTCATGATTAAAGTATGTGGGTTGTGTTCTAATTTGAACAAATGACATGTAAATTCTTAATTGATTTTGTTTGTTTCTTTTTCCAAAAAGTGACAGCCCTAGAGGCCATAACTGGCCACCCCTTGGCTCCGCCACTGCCAGATTTACAGAATTTCTCACCAGACTGATAATGAGCATTAATGGTTTTCAGGTTTGTAGATACATCTGAGAGGGGCTAAGGATACTTTTAAAGTGAAGGATACTTTTAAAGTGAAAACTGCAGAGACAGAAAGACATGTCTTCTTCACACAGTCATGTGAGACCCCCCCCCCCGAGCTGAATGTGATGTGCTGAGGTTTACACAGTGAATGTTCAGAAACAGTGCTGCTTGCAGCTGGCTGATGGAGAGCAACCGGCTATAGAAAACAGCACAGCTACAGTATCTGTATCAGGACTGTCCTTTGTTCTGAGTCAGAGGGCTGCCAATGAGGTCAGAGATTGTCACAAGATGTAATTTCCATACTCGCTCTCTGCTCTGGGTTTTCACAACAGAGCTTTAGCACATACAAGTTCATGCACATTTCTGTCTAGAAAGCATAACACAGAATGCCCAGTCCTATGCATGATCCAATGCTTTCTTTTATTTTGGTAAACTAAAAAGTAGTGATTATGTATTTATTTAGGTAATGTTGAGTTAAAGAAAGAAATTGATTACTTTTTTTCCTGTTAATTTTGACTTGATAGGAAAAACCTATCCACACCACATTACTTCACTACCAGTGGCAATTAAGATGTAAAAATGACATGATTTAATTCCCTACCTGTGACTCAACTCAGCTCTGTCACTCTATGTCCTCATGCTTTGCTTTATTTTTCTATTCCTGAAGGTAGTGAGATGAGTACACAGCATAACAGCAATACAAATACAACACACTGAATAGAAACTAGTTATTGTTCTGATTTTTTTAGCCCTAGTATGTCTCAAGAGATCATGACAGTAATATTCACTCAGGGACATAATGCAGGAAATTGTGCTACGGCAAAAATTTCACATCACAACATTTTACGTTTCTTTTTATCTTTTTTTCCCTGTATATTTTTTTTTGCAAAGCTGGTTCAAATTCTTCATAAAGATAACTTTGAACTACTCATCATGCAGTTTGTAAAAGGTGACTCTTCTGACATCTGTGATTTTTTTTCTTCAGATGGAATTGAAAATGATCATGTCTCTTTTCTTTTCAGACAATACATTTTGCTAAAGGTTTTGAGGAAAACAAGCAATACAAACGAATTTTTGAGAAATGTTTCAAAGAAACAGAAGCTATAAACAGAATTTTGGAGAGTGAAAAGAAAATAGCTTGTCAACAGTTAAGTAGATATGTTTGACACAAAGTACAGAGACATTATAAGCTTTCTCTCAGACTAGTCTGTTGCTAATGGACATACTGGTTTACAGGCAGCAGCTGTAAAATATTCCGTCGGCCAAACCTCATACATGATATGCAGCTACTCATACCAATATGTGCAGCAGCCAACCACATGTGTTGCACATCATAGCTGTGTGGATTTGGCACAGCTATGCCACAACACCAAAATATAATATGAAGTCTAATGAAAAAGAAAGAAAGCTGCTTTACAAATAACAATAAAAAATAGTGTCTGTAGTCTTTTTAGATTCAAACAAAGAATAAAATTCTTAAAGCAAAATAAATACACTTTCTGGATTCAAACACACGGAACACAAGTGATACACACAACAGACACACTCACACTTCACATTTTTGTAACACTAAACATTTAAACCACTGCTCACTTGTTTTTATCCTACAAGTTATTTCTTTGAACTCTGTTTTTAGTCTTCTTCAAAAATACAAATTCTTTGTCTCTTGGCTTCGTCCAAAAATGACAGCAGTCCTGTCCTGAAGAGATTACACAGCACTCTGCCACTTTGTGTCTATATTTGCTTTTTTTGCTCAAAGTATTGCTTTAAGAAATATATTTTGGTCTTCTTTTCAGATAGTTTTATTGACAAAATCTCTGATGGAAGCAACTTTTCATTTTTCCTCTGGGTTTCACAATACTGCATTTGCACCCGTCATTGAAATCAAAGTATAAATGGGGCTTCTTATGGAGTCTTTTGACTCCAGTCTGACCAAAAATCCTAACTCGTAAGGAATGTATGCATTCTTCAAATACTCTCTTGTTTAGTCTTCCATGTGTGCTCTACCTTTCCCAAGATGTTTAAAATGGGGACAAGTGTTAGTACTCATTGTCTGTTTCTTTGTCCATGCATGCACATCTATGTGGCTGAATGAGAGGTATAAAAGTGTGTACCAGTGAGTCTGTGACAGCTTGAACATTCTGATGCACTCAGACGCAGATTTCAATGGGTGTAGCCACCAGCATGCGGCCACCAGGTGAATTGTTTTCTCGTGGCATTCGATCATAGCTATTGGTGGACGACACAGAGCTGTTGGTGGAGACGGAAACAAAATGGTGGCCGCCACCTGGTTCCATCATCCCACCCTTAGCCCCGCCACCGCTAGCCCTCTCAACTACCCCTGGAGACATGGGAGAGAGAGGTGACAGCGGGGAGAGAGTCTGCTGCTTCATCCTCTCCACAAGGAGTTCCTCGTCTTCTTCCCCGGATGAAGATGAGGAGATAGTGCCGTCCACCTCTCCTCTCACCCCTCCTCCTCCTCCACCACCACCAACCCTCTCTCCGCCACCTCCACTGTTGCCGTTGCAATTTTTGTTGTTATTCTCTGTGTCTAGCATCCAGGAGTGGCTGAAGTAGCCAAAGACCTCTTTGACGGAGCAGCGGCGGTCCTGTTCCACAGAGAGCAGCCGGCGGAACATGCGGAGGGCCTGCTCAGTGAAGCGCCTCCACTGGGACGGCACCGTGTTCGTCCTCCTTTTCTGCCAGCGAATAAACTCCTGGTAGAAGGAGTCAGAGGGCAGTGCCTTCTCCCAGGGGAAGTTGCCAGTCAGCATGCAGAACAGCAGCACACCGAAGGCCCAAACGTCAGTGCTGTAGTCCACTGAGAAACCCTCATGACGAGACACGTCACAAAGCTCTGGAGCTGTGTAGGGGATTGTGCCACTCACCTGGAGGGAAACTCAACAGGTCAACACCTTGGTCGAAACAAGACAGAATTAGGTTATAGAGAAAAATATTACTCACTCTTTTCACAGGTGAGCCAGCTCGGCGGGTCATGCCAAAATCTGACAGCTTGACTTTGCGGCACTCTCGATCAAAAATAAGGATATTTTCAGGCTTGATGTCCCTGTGGACCAGCTTCTTACAGTGCAAGTAGTCCAAAGCTATGGCTACTTGGTGCACACAACGCTTTGCCACTGCCTCAGGGAGACCAACCTGAAGGGATGGACAGAGGACGATCAGAGTTAAACACACAATACATACAATATATACACCAATAAAACACGCATCACTGTCCTGGCTGATTTTATCACTGATCTAACACTCAGCTTCTTAAAAACATGTCAAGATGTCAATATTTTTGCTCAAGTCCTTGATCCAAAAGCAATTATGCATATAAGCAATAACCAGAATAAAAACTAAGATGGAGCACCTGTGGAGGAATGATATCAAAGAGGTCTCCTGCCAGAGCATACTCCTGGGCAAACACGTAGTAGTCATCTGTCTCGAAGGCGATGCCGAACATGTTAATGATGAAAGGGCAGGGAGACAGGTAGAGTGAAATGCTGTACTCCCGCAGGAACGACTTCAGCTTGGTTGTCTTCTTCTTTAGGAACTTCAGTGCCATTTTTGTACCTTATTGGTCAAAGTGGAAGAAGAATAACCACATAGACTTCTTGTTTAGCGCAGCAGGTTATTGTTTATGTGTATGTGTGTGGACGTGTCCCTCACCTCTGATCTTGTGGATAACCAGGTCCACCTTGCCGTAGGTGCCCTTGCCCAGCTCCCTGATCACCTCGTAATACTTGTTGACCTCCAGTCTCTCCAGGTTCTGGGCTGCGATCAGCTGCAGCTCATCCAGGATGTCCACGTTGGCTCGAGACACCAGCGGAGAGGAACTCATGCTGGGGACTGTTTTGGGGATGTACTGGGAGAAAAATCTGGGAAAAAGACGCTCAGGTGGGACAGAGCAGTAGTAGCTAATAGCTGGTGTCACTGTACAGAAACAAGAGAGGACACACATTTTTAAATTGGCATAGAGGGATAATTTTTATTCTTATCCATGTTTGTATTATTGTTTTAAAATTTGTTTATTATTGATACACATTCATATTATTGTTTGGAATCACAATAGATTGGACTATTCTACAACATATTACAGATTTATATCATCTATGTACCTATGTGGGTTAATTTATATGCAATCAAAATACAACAATAGATGTAATTTACAACAAATTCTAAATGTGATTTTTATTAATCACTTTCTACTTACTCCATATAATGATAAGTAATGCTCATCATAATTATTTGCAATTGCAAACTGCAAAAGACAAATAAAATGCTAGAAAAAATAAACAGTTACCTTTATTGATTTCATGTATATGTCAAACTGATTTTACATTTTCATCATGTGGAAAAACTTTTTAAAGTGAACATTGTGGTGTAAAATCACATATGAAATATACTTTATATCTCATTCACATTAGGCAGCACACTGGTGCAGTGATTAGCATTGTCGCCTCACAGCAAGAGGATTCCTGGTTCTAACCCAGAGTGGGGGGTTCCAACCCCCGGGGTGGGAGAGCCCTTCTGTGCAGAGTTTGCATGTTGTCCCTGTGTCAGTGTGGATTTTCTTCAGCTACTCCAGCCTCCTCCCACAATCTAAAGACATACAGGTTAAAATCGCACAAAACAACCGCATTGAGACTTTCTTGAAGAGGTGGTCTCGGTCCGGTTACAACCAAACTCTGGTGTGGTTTGTTTGTGGTGAGAACGTGTTCCTCGATCTGAACCAGGTTCCAAAGGTTCTATAACGAAAGTGTTTGGTGGAAACAGGGCTATAGTCACCAATTAACCTGCATGTCTTTAGACTGGGAGGAAGCTGGAGAACCCGGAGAAAAGCCCACACTGATGTGGGGAAAACAGGCAAAGTCCACATAGAAAGGCCCCAAACCTGGATTCGGGCACCCTCTTGCTGTGAGGAGACAGTACTAATCACTTCACCACCGTGTACCCCATTTTATATTTTATTGAAAAAAAAAAAAAGGATAATAAAAAAAATAAAAGATAAAGGGGATGGATATGTGAGTAGAAGTTGTTAGAAGATGAAGATGAAGATGTTAGAAGATGTTTTAGGTTTTTAGGGTCAGTGATGGACAACACGTCTTAGATGGAGCAGCTCACAGTCTGCTGCTCTGATCTACAGAGTGATAATCACTGAAAATGCCAATTATCTGCAGTGAAGGCTTAAGTCATTTCAAATACTATTTGCCAAAGGGATTGCCAGAGCTGAGTTCTCTCTCTACACACACACACACACACACACACACACACAGCCAATAAGAGTCCTTTTTAGCAAATCCATTCCTTGCTGCAAGTCCTGAACGTCACTGATCAAAGCACATGTGGAAGAAACAAGAGTTTACACACACACACACACTCATTACATAACCTGAGGTGCTAGAAAGCAGCCTCTCCATCCCTGAGCAGACATTTTGCCTTCCTGTTGTTGGGATTCACTGGATCACAGCTTCTTCTCTTGTCATCTGAAATGGTAAGATGTAGGGCTGCACGATATATCGTTTGAACATCGCGATGTGCGCATGTGCGATAGTCACATCGCAGGACATGCAATGTTTTCTCTTTTTTTTAGATCATGTAAACTTTTGTTTTGCTTCAGAAAAGCAGCTCCTTGCTCCGCTCGCCTCTCTCTCGCTGTCTCTCCCTCTGTCTCTCCATCTCTAACAACAGCAGCCCCTCCCCCTCTCATGCACACTCTGCAGTCACACACTGAAAATAAGCGACATGCAACAGGGAGAAATGGTAAAGGAGGTTTTATGTCTGGTACACACTACATGACTTTTCTGCCCATTCTGAAAGTCACTATGTCACATTACACGATTGTGGAGTCATAAAATCATGCCGTGTGTAACGCTGGTGAATGTGTGAAACCACATAGGCTATGTGGTCTGCCAATCATTTGAGTGGAACCAATCAACAGTGGTCTCCCTCACCTGATCCCCGTCCCTTTCCCTCCGGTAAACGAGAAGAGGCTACCTGACTCAGTAGACGGCAGCACGCCAGCGGACAACCACACGCTACACATACAGATGGTAATAAGAGCAGAAACATGGAGAAAGGAGGATTGGAGATGGAGGTCAGAACTCTTTAATGCTGGAGCGGGAAGTCGGTGACTGTAGGAGGAAGCGAGACAAACTCATGTCATGCTGCACACTGAGAAGAGTCGTTCAACTGCCTTGTTTGGATGATGTGATGCTGTGCTGTTGCTGGAAACTCATGCTGGATGTGACGGGACACTGGTCAGGCTTGTTGATGATGATGATGATGATGATGATGATGATGACGAAGAAGCTGAAGATCAACTGAAATGGATGGCGAGCTACCCAGAAATTACCGAGAAGAGCAGCTAAGACACACACAGGCCGCAAGCCTGGCTGGCAACCAGATGGTGTGGTAGGACTTTCCTCCTCAATTAGCTGTTACTCCCATACTGAATGACTATTGAGCATTAATTCTCTGGGTTGTGCAATATTCTCACTTTTGGGAAAAATCACCTTTTGCACTGACAATCATATTTAATAAATGTTCTTTGAGAAATGAGTGTTTGTGGAAATATAGTATTAGGGAAATTGTATTTTGCTCTGTGAGTATTTAACTGAGTGATGGTGGTCTGATTGATAACTGGAGTTGAGTGACATTGACTAGAATTAAAGCTGCACTGTGAAATGTGAAATTTGCTACTAGTAGACTGTGACTTTCCATATGGAACCTCTGCAAATATTTTTCTACTACTTTTGTTTAATTAATTCTTGTTATTATCAATACACTTAAAAGCATTTTTGTTTGTACATATTTTGTCTATACACTCTCTTATCATTGCAAATACCATGTGTCTCATCCATTCTCACCAGCTCCCAGAGCTGAACCTCAACCCACAACTAGTCCATCTACATGTTAACTCTGGTATCCTACCTAATTTATTAGTCTGGCGGGTATGATAACTGCTACATAATTATGGTGAGCTAGCCAGGAGCTGTGTTGAGAATTGGTGGACATACATTTTTTGGGGTATAAATCAACAATTTTGGAAATCATGGAAATTGTGTTGGCCGAGTCCATAAAAATCCCAGATTCAGTAGTAATAGCTGGGTTAACTAACACTGATACAGATAAAGAAAATTTGGGTCTGTAAGTCGTGTTTTCAGGATTGACACTGTTGAATTTCCAAGACATGGTATTGTTGAATTTACACATGGAACTGCTATGCAGTCTCTTGCACCTTTGCTACCTTTAAACTATACAAGTCCCATCACACCTGAGGTCACGTATAAGTTATGCTCATTGGCCAGCATATACAGTCCTCTCGCATGCAGCAACGCCACCAAGATCTATCTGGAGGAACTGCAGGCCATCGCTAAGCTAAGTGCAAAACCATTTGGAGTGCTATTGCAAGAGGAGCTAGCCAAATTCTCTTCTTCCCTTGCCTCAGAAAAAGAGCCTGAAGTGAAATCTGACCCAAACAGTGATAATGAAGTGCCCTCTACTACTAATGAGACAGTGGATAAAGGCCCTATTAAATAATCTCCAGTTAATGCCCCTCTGACACTATTAGGAAAGGCATCGCCTTGCCTGACCAGTGCTTTTGCTTCTTACCTGGCCCCGCATGCTACTGTAAAACGTCATCTGAGTCATCTCCTCCTTTCTAATGAGGAAGAGCTCAGTCCCCTGGGCCCAGTATTTCAAAGTTATCTGATAGGATTATCCTGGCCGGATTGGATTAAATCCTGATCTGATCTGAAAACTGGGTATTTCAACACAGATCAAGAGGATCCTGATCCTGAGGATCAGGATTCAGCTATGGTAATCCAATCCTCCCTTTAATCCGGATAAAGGCTGCATTTGGGTGTTTCAAAAGTTAAGGCAGAGATCTGGATCAATTTGATACCAAATTTCAGGATTATTTGGATCCCACCTCAGAGGTGGATTTGACAAAGCCTCAGCTCCACTTCTCCTAGATATTGATACTCAAGATGTTCATTACACTTCATCTAAATTAGTGTTTTAGTTGTAAGTAATTTCAAGCATAGAAAAATATTGTTTGGCCATACTTCCTGAAACTGCTGTAAATAAGAGTAACAAATACAGACCTATTTCTCAACGTCTAGTTTCACCTAACATTATAACCTGTTTGTACCAAAACATCCAACATATGTTTGTGGTCAGACAAAGGCAAGGAAATGCAGTGCAAAGCAAATTTATTTGTATAGCACATTTTCTTTACATAGAGTGCAAGAAACAACACAGGGATTAACATAATAAGCACATGGCAATTCAAACAGAGTACTAAAAAAGCAATTAGAAACAAATGATATGTGTGCACTTGCATTTTTCCAATGTTACATCACATCTTTGAGGGGGGAAAAGTAATAGCTCAACTATGTCCTGAAAAAACATTGCTGTATGTCTCAATTTAAATCACATTTAAGCACTTTAAATGTATATTTTCATGCTTCTGATTTAATGAAGATAAATTTTACTTAATTCAGAAAAGCTTGAAAATGCACCTTTAAAATCCCTGGGAAGTGCTTGACTGTGATTTTATAACATGCAGCAATGTATTTCAGGAAGTGGTTGTGTGTACAAACTGATTATTTTACTTCATCAAATCAGATGCTATAGTGCTATATGTTTAGTGGGAGCCTTCTACAAAAGGGGATACATTTCCAGGGATTTCCAGCATTCGACCTGTTGTCTTCATTAGCAGTGGCATTGCTGAGTGGTCCATGGGTGTGAGTGTATTCTGAAAGTAGAAGTAGAGTGTGTATGAGCATATCTTTATTATTGTCAGGAATCCACAATAGCCAGAGAAATTGTTTAAGTAACGTTACAGAAAAGCACATCACCAGCATTACTGTAGCATACCCAAACTCAATCCTCTGACACTTCTGAATGAACCGCATCATTCATACTAG